GTGATCAATGGCTCCATGTCTAGTTGTCATCCAATACCAAGCGGAGTGCCCCAAGGGTCGGTCCTGGGGCTGGTTTTGTTCAATATCTTCATTAATGATCTGGAGGATGACGTGGACTGTACCCTCTGCAAGTTTGCAGATGACGCTAAACTGGGAGGAGTGGTAGATACGCTGGAGGGTAGGGATAGGATACAGAGGGACCTAGACAAATTAGAGGATTGGGCCAAAAGAAATCTGATGAGGTTCAACAAGGACAAGTGCAGAGTCCTGCACTTAGGACGGAAGAATCCCATGCACTGCTACAGAGTAGGGACCGAATGGCTTGGCAGCAGTTCTGCAGAAAAGGACCTAGGGGTTACAGTGGATGAGAAGCTGGATATGAGTCGACAGTGTGCCCTTGTTGCCAAGAAGGCTAATGGCATTCATAAGGAGGAGGGAGAAAACTTGTTCACCTTAGCCTCTAAGGATAGAACAAGAAGCAATGGGCTTAAACTGCAGCAAGGGAGGTCTAGGTTGGACATTAGGAAAAAGTTCCTAACTGTCAGGGTGGTTAAACACTGGAATAAATTGCCTAGGGAGGTTGTGGAATCTCCATCTCTGGAGATATTTAAGAGTAGGTTAGATAAATGTCTATCAGGGATGGTCTAGACAGTATTTGGTCCTGCCATGCGGGCAGGGGACTGGACTCGATGACCTCTCGAGGTCCCTTCCAGTCCTAGAATCTATGAATCTATTAATCTATTTTCGGCTTTATACATAGGGGCATTGCCAGCAGAACGAGGGACGTGATCATTCACCTCTATTTGACATTGATGAGGCCTCATCTGGAGTACTGTGTCCAGTTTTGGGCCTCACACTACAAGAAGGATGTGGAAAAATTGGAAAGAGTCCAGCGGAGGGCAACAAAAATGATTAGGGGGCTGGAGCACATGACTTATGAGGAGAGGCAGAGGGAACTGGGATTGTTTAGTCTGCAGAAGAGAAGAATGAGGAGGGATTTGATAGCTGCTTTCAACTACCTGAAAGGGGATTCCAAAGAGGATGGATCTAGACTGTTCTCAGTGGTACCAGATGACAGAACAAGGAGCAATGGTCTCATGTTGCAGTGGGGGAGGTTTAGGTTGGATATTAGGGAAAACTTTTTCATTAGGAGGGTGGTGAAGCACTGGAATGGGTTACCTAGGGAGGTTGTGGAATCTCCTTCCTTAGAGGTTTTTAAGGTCAGGCTTGACAAAGCCTTGGCTGGGATGATTTAGTTGGGGACTGGTCCTGCTTTGAGCAGGGGGTTGGACTAGATGACCTCCTGAGGTCCCTTCCAACCCCGATGTTCTATGATTCTATGTCCCTATTAGCCAGGCTCCCTGGTCAAACTACATCACCCATAATGCAGCCAGAGTCATGTGACTCCGATGATACATTATGCAGCTCAGTCAGAGGGAAATTCACTTTGTAGTATTGGAGATGTAATCTCTAGGGAGCCTGGCCCATATGAGAGAATGGGGGCCCAAACTACAACTCCCATAAGAAAATGTGCTGGGATACGTATTTTAAGTTTTTGTTGACTAATTTGAAATTAAATTTTTTGGTCAGTTCAAAATGACTTTCTTCTCTAGTTCTAAAAAGTATGTTTTCTTGGTACAAATATAAAGGGCCAGATTGTGTCTGAGAGGAGGAGAAAATGCAAAGAGTCTTTCTGAAGTGGGACTGCTCCAGTATTGCCAGAGCTGGTCCCAAGCTTGAAGCATCCACGCTGTATGAGGATGATCTATGATATCTAATGCCACAGAGAGGTCCAGAAGGATGAATATGGATCCCTTCACTGGTCTATGGAGAGAAGGAAGTTAACCACGAGAGCAACAAGTGTTTCTATATCATGGCATGGCCTGAAGCCTGGCTGGGAGGGATCCAGTGTTAGGGCTGGTCAAAAAAATTCCATCAAAACTGTTTTTCAGTAGAAAATTAGGTTTTTGAAGAAACAACTTTTTTTCACAAAAAGTGTGTGCTTTCCACACAATTTTCATTTTTTATAAAAAAAAACGGCCCCAAAACTGTAAAGTTTAATCTGAAAATCAACATATTTTTGCCACAAACTGAAATATTTTGATTCAGAAATGCTGCCATAGTGCATCATGGGAGTTGTAGTTCGGGTGCCTCATGCTCCCATTCTGCTCTGTGCGCCAGGCTTCCTGGTAGGACTCCATCTCCTAAGATGTACTACCATCCCTCGCCAAAAAGGGAGCCTGAGGTGCATCGTGGGAGATGTAGTCCAACCAGGGAGCCCAGCCCATAGAGGAAACTTGGGAGCATGTTTAGGAACTGCAGCAGTATTTCAGTTGGCAGCTGAAAATATATATATATATATTTTTGCCTAAAAGTAGAAATTTTCTGCTGCAGGAGGAAAAAAACATTTTCCAATCAGTTCTATCCAGGATACCTGAAGCTGACAGATGGTGACAGAGGTTGCTGTTGCTAGGTTCTCAGTTAGCTTGCTTAGCAAAGGGAGGTTAGACACTAGATGGTCTTTTTGATTTCGTTCACAGGTACAATAAGTTCCCCACCTAGATCCTTTGAAGTTTTAGGGAGAATGTATATGAAAGCAGACGACAGGCAGCAATGCTGTTTTGTTGCTGTTTGAGTGGAAGAGGGAGTTTCGGTTTTAGAGCTTTTTCTGGTCTAGCAAAGAGATTGATTTTTGGCAAAGAGCTGCTGTGTTTGCAGAGTATACAAGCATGGGTACTTTTACCTAGACATAAGTTCTATTGATTTGCTCTTTAGTCACTGAATGATCTACACTGCCCCTGACATCACACTAGAGAAAAAATAAGAGAGAAAAGGGAAGCAATTTCCCATCATAGAGTATTTGCAGTGACCAGGTAGGCTGTTTGCATGACAGTATCTTTAAATAGAATCATGCACTGAAGTCCATAGAGTGACACCAGGGATCAGTTTGGCCCAAAATATTTCTTCATGAATGGATCTGCAAGCCATTTTGTATACTGATTTAGCAGTGCAGCTAGAAGCCTACAGTTTATTTTTTCCACAACCCCAAAAGACAATATTGTTAGGTTTAGATTAATATCTGTACTGTACAGTGCTTTTAGGTTTTCCAATCTAGCACTACATGAAATTATCATTAGTTTCGATTAACACATTTTGAGATTTATAAGTCGAAAGAAAAAAAAAGCATTTTATTTCTCCAAAAGGTCAAAATTGAGGCCCCAGTGGGAAAGAAAAAAGGACAAGGAACAGAGGCTGGGCTCACTGGCTTTCTGATTTCATGTCCTGTGTTTTCCATTATTTACAATTCATAATGGATTTCCTGTCTTGACTGTTTAGGTGTCTTTGTAGAACCTTTACTGCTAGGCTTCCACCTATGGAAATGTGGACTCAGATAGGAATTTTAAATGACAAGGGATATGAATTTTATGGGCTTGGGCTCAGGCTCTAGCCACTAAGTCAATGGCAAAATTCACATTGTTTTCAATGTTTTCAAGCCTCTAGCAGATGTTACGCCGGATCACTAAAGTTGACACAGTTTAGAATAATCTGCCTTAACCACCTAGGGCCAGCCACAGGTTTTGCTGTGCCCTATCGGAATTATCCTGTGCACCCTAACCCTAATCCTCTTCCTCTCCACTTGCAGTTTGGTCTGCTGTATATCTACAGATGACCCCCATCCCTTCCAGCCAGGGCCGCTGAGAGCGGGTTTGGGCCCCGGTGAAAAAAAAATTTCGGGTCCCCCAGCAAGGGCGGACCTGCTAAACAGGGCCGACGAGAAGGGGGGAAAGCTGGGCCCCGGGCCCCCTTCCGGACCGCCGGGCCCCGGTAATTTGTACCGGCTTCCTCCCCCTCTCGTCGGCCCTGCTTCCAGCCTGCTGTAGATGTAAAAACAGGGATGTTCCCAGCTCCCCATCCTGTATTTGTCTTTCCCGGCACAAGAGCAATGCACTTCGAAATACTGAATACATTTCCCTTATATTCAGTTCTCTGGTTCCTTTATTTCATGCAGTTAATATCCTGCATTTACAGACAGAGGAGAACAAATGCCGATGTGTGTCTTATTCAATGTGCTATTTTTTTGTTCTCTCAGCAAGACTGCTTTAACTTAATTGGACAGTTATTTAATCAGTTGTTCAGCTTCTCTAGACCCTGTTCAAACTACAGCAAACATATTCAACATGTATATTACCTCTAATATGCCCATCATATTTAAGACAAATTTATTCATTTTGATTCTTTATAAACATCCCATTTACAGCAATTTTGTCTTTTCAATAAATATTAACCCCAAGCAAAAATGGTATTTTCAGACTGGAAAGAAAAAAAATCCATGTGGGAATATTTGCAAAGTTGCAAAACATATCTGAGTTGGAAGCAACACAGCAGAGGACAGGAAAGCAGGGCCGCTCCTGTAATGCTCCAGCACAGATTTGAACTGTGGAGCAGAGCCTGGGCAAGTGGGAAAGAAGGGAAAATCTGGTAATGCATCAACATAGGTCTGACTGTGAGGATTAATCCATTCATTGACTGTTGAAGTAAATGGGAATTTTTTTATAGACTTCACTGGACTTTTTATAGACTTCAGGCCAATGAAGCAGAACAGAGTGGGAGAAGAGGTCAGTGTAGTAATTCAGAAGATTAGCTCTGAAACAGGGAGCCGAGCACAGGGTTGTGGTAAAGTGAGCTCTGCAGCAGACAGCAGCTCAGATCCTCAGTTAAACAGCTCTTTCTTCAAATTTATTTGCTTTCATTTATTTCATTTCATTTCTAATTAGGGGGAAGTGTGCCCACTCTGCTTTTGTGATCTTTGCTTACTTTTTAGCACTGGAATAATGTGGGTCATAAGCATGTAGAACTTGGAGAGAATTCCCAGCTACTCTTTCAAAGCTAATAGACACCATAGTGATTTCCTGCCGGTTGTTTTGGCTTGCATGTGGCAAAACCCTTGATGCTGTAACTAAGGGGTTATTTTTACTCAACTCTTCTGTTTTGTCTTCCAGGGTTCGGCATGACCACCCCAGCCACCGTTGGAGGAAAAATTTTTCTGATATTTTATGGCCTTATAGGATGTGCAGGGACCATTTTATTCTTTAACCTGTTCCTGGAGCGCTTGATCACGGTCATAGCCTACATCATGAAATCCTGCCATGAGAGACAGCTGAGGAGAAAAGGGGTCCTCCCTCATGACAGCCGGCGAGGCTCAGGGAACTCTGAGGTGGACAGCTTGGCAGGGTGGAAGCCATCTGTGTACTATGTCATGCTCATTTTATGTGTAGCATCACTCATCATTTCCTGTTGTGCCTCTGCAATGTACACACCGATTGAAGGGTGGAGTTACTTTGACTCACTTTACTTTTGCTTCGTGGCCTTCAGCACTATTGGTTTTGGTGACCTGGTCAGTAGCCAAAATGCCCAGTATGAAAGCCAAGGCCTTTACCGATTTGGCAACTTTGTCTTCATACTCATGGGGGTTTGCTGTATCTATTCCTTATTTAATGTGATCTCGATTGTTATCAAACAGTCCATAAACTGGATATTAAAGAAGCTGGATTGCAGGTGCTGCCCCAGATGCCAAAGAAAATTCTTTAGGTCACGGAGGAATGTTGTGATGCCAGGGAATGTGCGGAGCCGGCGGAACATCTCCATTGAGACTGATGGCGTCAATGAGAGCGACACAGATGGACGCCGGCTGTCTGGCGAGATGATCTCCATGAAAGATTTCTTAGCCTCCAACAAAGTGTCACTGGCCATCATGCAGAAACAGCTGTCAGAAACTGCCAATGGCTACCCAAGGCAGTTGAACTCTAGTTCTAAACATAATGGATTCTCTGGCGGGGTAGGAGCCCTAGCGATTATGAATAATAGGCTGGCAGAGACAAGCGTGGATAGGTAAAAAAAAATCAGAACAATGGGAAATGCATCAACAAGTATAGAAGTAACTAGGGAATGAATGTCATCAGAGAAGCAGAGCTAAATGAGCAGAACCCCTTTGGTTAGAAGGTCTCTCACTTTTTGGGGAGGGGCTGTCAGTTAATATCTGTTGTTCTTTGCACTACTCAGATCTCTATCTTCCTTTCTTCCCTTCCATTTGCTCCCTAAACAGGTCACTGAAGGATAAATTTCAAACTAAATATAATGTAGCCCCAACACCAATTTTTTATGGCCTGTTGTTCCTGTATTTATGTTAAGTTCAGTTTCAGGAATAAGGAATTGATGGCCTTGGGAAAAATCACCTTCCACAACACTGGACTGAAATTCTGTATTGAACTGATATTTAGTTAAAAGTTGGTATTGGGGTTTTTGTTTGTTTGTTTTTTGTCCCATTCTTTTTAGACCTGGTTTCTGAATGTAGCCTATCTGAAACCAAAAGAGGAACCATTATAAGCCTTTCTCTGCACCATCTATTCTCTTGCACTCCTGATTTAAGTGAGTGAAAATCAAATAATTTCTCTCTAAATCTAACTTCTCAAAACAAATTCCAGATTCTCAAAACAGCTATTTCGGTAAAGCCAAATTCTGCTGTCAGATAAGGTGGTATAAATCTGGAGTAATTTCATCAGAGTCAGTAGAATTACTCTGCTGTTACACTGGTGTAACTGAGAGCAGAAGTTGACCCTGAGAGTGTAATTTAGTCTTCCCCTTAGAAGGACATTGTCAAAAATGGTAGAGTCAAAATTAGACCTACTTTTGCTTTCTTATGTGCGTTTGCAAAGTACAGTTAATACTTGCTAAGTTAACTTTTCCTCTAAAAATTGAATCAATGAAATTTTCTTTAGAAAAATAATTAAATATGGATAGACAGATCTCATGAGCAACCCTACAGTAACAAACAGGGACTGTTTCTAATACTGTGTGTACAGTGCCCCATCCTGATTGCAGTCAATGAGCACTGACATAACATGAACATTTAATAAGAATGTTTACACAATGAACAGGTTTCATTGCAGAAACAGATTGCAACTTCAACATTCCAAGGCATTATTACAAGTAACCATTAGCACAAGAAATGTAAGAAATGATGAAAAACACTTTTGACAGTGTCCTTTTTTAACATTTGTGTAAGTATCATACTCTTCCTGTTTTCTGGCCTTTGGTGATGATAATGATAGGGTTTTGATTAAGAAAATGGAAAAGTTATAACTCACCATTTTGTTAAATGAAAGGATCTGAGTGCTCATTATGAACTGGCTGAAGACCTAAATGAGAACTGTATTAATGGTCAGAAAAACATGGAAACAGGAAATTAGATAAGTTAATGGATATAGGGTGGCATTTTGCATTAGGTAACAGTAGAAATAAGGGATTAAATTAAAAGGATATTGCTAAGTAAAAATTCTAAGCCAAATTCTGCTTCCTTTACATCCATGCTATTAAAGTCAGTGAGGGTATGTGGAAGTAAATGAGCGGAATTTGGTGACATAGGGCCTGTTCTAGTGTTTATTGAAATAATTGGAATTGGATATAGGCTCATAGAGTTAAACAAAGTCTTACTTGCGGTACCCATAATACCATTTAGATTATTACAATTTAAAGACATTTTAAATATCTAATATACTTTTCACCATTTATGCAATTTCTTTTTTTCATTTAATTTATGTGGAACAATGTAGGTGGACTGGTCTGTTTCATTTGTGTTAGGAATCACTTTCATGTTCTGGTTCTTCTGCCTCACCAATTGCTCTTGTGTCTGGATTCATAACACTGCTGGGGAATACTTACATACTTTAAATATAAACTGAATTTAAAAATATTATGATGACATCTCATATAGGGTTTTGTAATTCAACATTTTAAAAACAAAACCAACATGTTGGTCCTAAGCTATTGCACATCAGCACTGTCTATTTAACAATTACATTGTAAAGAATAGTAAGCTGTTTGTAGGATTCCACAGCTAAAGAGTCCAAATCCAAGGTCAAATCCTGCTCATCTTTCTTACACAAGTAGTAGCTCTGTTTGAAGATGGTGAGCATGATTCTGATCTCACTCCGTTTTTCACAGCTGGCACCTCCATTGGTTACAATGGGATCACTCCTTATTTGCGCAAACATAAGTGAGATCAGACTCAAGACCAGCAGTCCTACTTGTGTGAGTAAGGCAAGCAGGATTTGACTTCTAGGTTCTTAAAAACAGCAATGAGTTGCCATTGATGCATTTTAGAAGATAATACTCAGCTCCATTACATTGCCATGCGTTATTTTCTGAATTTCCTCTTCTGATTATTACTGCATGTTAAGATACTTGGATGTAAAGAAAATAGTTCTATGTAGGCTGCTTCTTTCTGGATTCTTTCACTGATGCCTCTGTTCAGTGCCTCTCATCATGGAATTCAACATCATGGAAGCAATTCTGATGTTGTAAATGATCAGAAACGGTTTAGGGCTAGTTCAGGCCTTCAGGTGCAGCCCTCAGAAGAGGCAAAGTAAGTGTGGCCCTTGAAAGGGTGCCGCTTGCTTCTCCCCTTGTGCCTGGCAAGCTATTCTTGCCAGTGAGTGGGGCAGGGAGAAGCTCTTGCAACTCCCTATCTTCTCCATCCCCTCCCCACCCACTTGCTCATAGGTCAGACCATCTGGAGATCATAGGTCTTGCTTGACACAAGAGCCAGACCCAAGAGCCAGGTAGGTCTTACTCTGCTGAGCAAGATGGGGAAGAGGGGAGAATTTACTCCACTAATTCTCTTTCTCAACTGAGTAAAAACAAGGGCACAATGTGACTGTAAATATATAGGCAAACAATTTATTATTTATTGAATGCCATTATTCCATTCGCTGGTCAGTGTTATGTAAACCTAGAGGAAGGCCAGGTCTCTGCCTCAAGGAGCTAACAATCTAAATGAAACACAGACAAGATAGTTTAGACATAATGTGGTATCTAAATTAGAAAAGAAATAGCTTTTGTTTATAGACGTACACGTCTTAGACAGCAGTGATGGGAAAGGAAACAGAAAAAATATAAGAGTTGTATGGTAGAGGAGACTGGTAAAGTATTACAATCTGTAGAGTTGGATAAGAGTATGGTGGTGGTTATTTAGCTCATAGAATATGGTGTATCCAAGTGGCAGATCACTAAACTGGCCATTGGATTGTTTCCAATGTTCCCCAAGTATGTGACAATTGCTGTGTTTCTCTTTAGCTAAGGAATCTTATTCTGTGATACTTAGCCCCAGTTATTCATTGTCAAAAAGGAATCTTTATCACCCTTAAAAAAACAATGAGAAAATGTCATGGTCGTGAACGCAAGGCACAGTACATAAGAATATCCATACTGGGTCAGATAAATGGTCCATCTTGCCCAGTATCCTGTCTTCCGACAGTGGACAATGCCAGGTGCTCCAGAGGGAATAAACAGAACAGGCAATCATCGAGTGATCCATCCCCTGTCCACTCCCAGTTTCTGGCAGTTAGAGGGTAGGGACACTCAGAGCAGGATGTAGTATCCCTGACCATCTTGGCTAACAGTCATTGATGGACCTATCCTCCATGAAGCTATGTAATTCTTTTTTGAACCCTGTTATAGTACAAGTTCCACAGTTTGTCTGTGCATTGTATGAAGAACTACTTCCTTTTGTTTGTTTTAAACCTGCTACTTATTAATTTCATTGGGTGACCCCTGGTTCTTGTGTTACATGAAGGAGCAAAGAATACTTTTTCTCCACACCATTCATGATTTTATAGACTACTATCATATCCCCCCTTAGTCACCTCTTTGCCAAGCTGAAAAGCCTTTAATATCTTCTCATATGGAAGCTGTTCCATACCCCTGATCATTTTTGTTGTCTTGCTCGGTACCTTTTCCAGTTCTAATCTATCTTTTTTTGAGATGGGGCAACCAGAACTGCATTAAGTATTCAAATGTGGACATGTCAAGTAATTTATGTAGTGGCATTATTATATTTTCTGTCTTATTATCAATCCGTTTTCTAATGGTTCCTAACATTTTGTTACCTTATTTGGCTGTTGCTGCACATTGAGTGGATGTTTTCAGAGAACTATCCACAATGACTCCAAGATCTCTTTCTTCAGTGGTAACAGCTAATTTAGATTCCATCATTTTGTATGTATAGCTGGGATTATGTTTTCCAATGTGCATTACATTGCATTTATCAACATTGAATTTCATCTGCAATTTTGTTGCCCAGTCACCCAGTCTTACGAGATCCTTTTGTAACTCTTTGCAGTCTGCTTTGGACTTTACTATCTTGAGTAATTTTGTATCATCTGCAAATTTTGCCACCTCACTGTTTACCCATTTTTCCAGATCGTTTATGAATATGTTGAACAGCGCTGGTCCCAGTACAAATTCCTGGGGGACACCACTATTTACCTCTCTCCATTGTGAAAACTGACCATTTATTCCTACTGTTTGTTTCCTGTCTTTTAACCAGTTACCGATCCATGAGAGAACCTTCCCTCTTATCCCATGACTGCTCACTTTGCTTAAGAGCCTTTAGTGAGGGGCCTTGTCAAAGGCTTTCTGAAAATCTAAATACACTATATCCCCCTTGTGCACATGTTTGTTGACCCCCGTCAAAGACTTCTAGTAGATTGGTGAGGCATGATTTCTCTCAAAAACCATGTTGACTATTCCCCAAGAAATTATGTTCATCTATGTGTCTGACAATTTTGTTCTTTACTATAGTTTCAACCAGTTTGCCCGGTACTGAAGTCAGGCTTACCGGCCTGTAATGTCGGGTCACTTCTGGAGCCCTTTTTAAAAATTGGCGTCATATTAGCTATCCTCCAGTCATTTGGTACAGAAGCTGTTAGTAGTCCTGCAATTTCACATTTGAGTTCCTTCAGAACTCTTGGGTGATTACCATCTAGTCCCGGTGACTTATTACTGTTTAGTTTACCAATTTGTTCCAAAACCTCCTCTAATGACACCTCAATCTGG